CCTTTAAATCATATTTCTCTAGTTTTAAGGTAACGGTCTTCGACATACTAAAGTATGTCCACCACTGGTGACATCAAACAAACATATTGGTTATATATTTACAAGGTATCAGCGTATTATAGTCTACCACAACTCTTTATATTTTTAGTATATGTTTATATATATATATAATTTTTTTTATTCACTTTATCTCATCAAAATGCATATTATTGGTTTTCTTATTATTTTTTTTCTATTAAATCCACTTATGGTCCGGGTGTTGTTCTTTTCTGATCAAGACCCTCGCCTAAGTGGTTGGCGACCCGATTTCCTTTTGCAAGGGAGCCATGAGGGTGGCGACTCCACAATCCGTTGCGTGGCCCAAGTCGTCACCTCTCAATTATATAAATACATTTTTCATTATTAGTAAATATAAAAATTTTAAATTAATATATAATATTAATATGAAGCACATTTGGTAATATTATCACCTATATATAATAATTATTACTATAATGTTTGTTTCAATATCAATTAAGAATTCCAATTTAGAATACAAACATTTGTCGGTATAGATATATTCAAAATATTTTTATTTATGGAAATAATTTATTTTTCTTGTTACTTAACAACTGTAATTTCATTTCAGGTAATACTTTTTTGAATATTGTAGAATTATAATTTAAAAAATCAATCATTAATCTCAATTTAAATGTTATAACTTTTAAGTAATAATAACACTCACCCTTGATGAGTTGATGTAGACTTAAAATGTTGAAATTAAATTTAAATTGAATTATATTTAAGTTACAATTTGCACAAATTCACATAACACTAATGGTAATAAGTAATATCAGTTATCGCTGGATCATGAAGAGTTATTATCAAATAAAATATTAAATAACCTATAAGGAATGATTAACCTTGATGAAGAATCGAATCACAATTCACATGATTCAGAATTAATTGAAAAGACGTTCTAAACTAAATTCAATTCTTAGTAGTTCACACTGAGTCATTGAGTCACAGTACTATGGTACACTGATTCAACTCACTCAGTTCACCTAAAAGAGTCAACTCTTTCAGTTGACTCACTCACGAACTACCCAGCTCTACTCAATGATACCGTTTTAAATTAAGTGGGGTACATAGACTTCATTTATATATGTTAATAAACACTTATAATTTAATATAATAATATTATTTTTCCTGGTATTATTATATTGTATTATTTGTCCTGGTATAAAAATTAATGTTTCGAAAGAAAATATATGTTAAAGATATTGTATTTGATACATTAAATCCAATAGTTCAAGAATTGACTATTTTCTGTAAATACACAGTATCATTTACAATATAGGATAGATGCTATTCTATTATGTCATTGTAATTTAATTCCTTCTTTAATTAACAATCCTAACTCATATTTGTTCATTTATATACTTTTATATAAATATATAAATTTAGATATATACTTATATTAAGTGATGAGTAAAAAAAAATTAAATATCAGATGAAAATAATTTATTTTTAAATATTGAAGATATGATTATAATAGATTGTAATAAAGTATAGTTATACTACACGTTATAATACCGTATATGGTCATACTTATGTCAAAGTATCTAGTGTAATATATTTTATTGGAAGGGTCATTTTACTAAATTTATCCATGAGACGTGCTTTTTTTAAAACTTGAAAACAATTATAAATATGAAATTAGAGAAAATAAAATTATAAAAAAGGACTAATAAAAAGTTAAAAAAATTGAACATAATTTTATAAATTAACATAAATTCAACTGAAAAATCGAAAAAGAATTGATAATTTGTAAAGGGAAGATATATCCTCTTCTTACCCTTTCAATAGGCGCCCAATTATGCCCCTTGTATGCTCCCGGATCTTATTTTTCGCGAAAACATAGTATTTTTTTGTCTTTAACATTTATCTCTATAAAAATCCAGCACAGTGGGGTCGCGGCATAGTGGGGACGTTGCATAGTTGGGTCCAGTATAGATTTAATATGACAGTGATTATAACACCATTATATATATACATGTAAAGCGACTTAAGTAGGTAAACGTATAATGCACGAGGTATAGCCTTGTTTTATGGGCGGGGGAGGGACGTTATACATAAGGTATAAACGGCGGCAGCGGCGGTAGGAATATATAAATATACATACGTAAGACGCATTATACGCGTGCGGTATTGGTCAGTCAAAATAAAAATTTGTTTATATATATAATTGATGTCACGCACGCGTGTACGCGTCGAAATCCACAAATAAAATTTAAAAGAAAATATTATTGTTGGAGAGAGGTGAGCGGGGTGAGGTGAATGCGTTACGACGTCTAGACTAGACGACGGGATACGCGAGAATAATAACACTTGCCGCGTGGAAAGTTACAAGCACACATCAAGTGAAACTAATATAAGCATGTTAATAATAATTAATAATAAAATGATTGCTAATTTTAGTTATTTTTTAGCTGCTGGTCTGCCTCCTATCCAAAAACCAA